CCCCCCAGGACAGCCCACACAACACAGACGACGCGAGAGTTGGGTCGGCTGTGACACCCTAATGCTGGGCCACCAGGGAAAACTTGTGTTGCAATGAACCTTTCTCATTTTTTTCCCCCAGGTCTAAGTATTGTGGACTTCCTTTGTGGTATTTTAGTGATCCGACAGGATGGAGGGTGTTCTGAGAGATTCACGGCCAAGTCCGATGATGTCAGAGTGGAGGGGAGGGCCGGGCGCGGTGGGGCCAGCAAGTCTGGCCCCGTCGCGGATTGTTTGTCTAACACTTCACAAGAGGAACAGGAACCGCTGAATTATTCATTTTCAAGTTGCCCTAAAAAAGGCACTTAGGCTGCCGAAATGCAGACTCCCGGTGCCAGCGAGAGGAAGGGGAAGGTCGTCTGGGCCTGAACCCGCTGCTTCTCTCCCTTCTCTAGTTCCACTTCCCAGCCCTTCGGGGGCCCAGAAGCCACTGCCGAGGGGCGGGGGAGGGGTGGGTCCTGGAGGGAACCTGGATGGGACCACAGGTAATAGGCTTACACACCCTTGCAGGACAGAAGGAGGCTCTGGAAGTGTCCTGCTGCCCTGGGGGACAGCCCAGGGAGACGGCCTGGCCTTGAGAGCTGGGGCTGATAACGGGGTACTGTGCTGGTGGAGGAGAGCCCACTGCCTCCAGCCCTTTCATTAGCAGTTCCTACCAAATAGTGCTTAGGGCCAAAAGGGGTAATCAGAATCCTTTCCACTTGGGAGTGAAGGCCGGGCTCCGACACCAGGCCGGCTGCTTGCCAGAACCTTGAACTAGAGTGATAGCAGAGCTGGTAGGGCATTTGCCTTGCATGCAGCCGACCTGGGTTCAATTCCCGGCATCCCACATAATCCCCCAAGCACTGCCAGGAGTGATTCTTGAGTGCAAAGCCAGGAGCAACCCCTGAGCATCGCTGGGTACAACCCAAAAAGGGGGGAAAAAAAAAAAAACCTTGAGCTTCTGTGTGGCTTTGGCCTCAGTTTTCCTAGCTGGGAACTGTAAGCCATTTTGCTCGGGACGGTTGCAGGCCTCTGCACCCTCTGAGGGCCAGGTTACAGTTCAGACAGAGTTCAGCTGGGCCGGCCTTAGTTCAGCCCCACACAGATGCGCTCACAAGATTTTTTTACCCTGAATGCTCAGAGGAACCTCTAAAATATATCTATATTTGTACATAATAGAACAGCGGCTCCTCCATAAGCATTTTTATAAAATTCAGGAAAAGCAGACCCCTGGGTGGGGCCTGGCCAGCCGGGCACACGGCAGCACCGGCCCAGCAAGCCCCACATGCAGCTCCCAGGGGCGCACAGAGGAGCCCATGGGACGGGGAGTGGGGGTGGGAGCCGCAGCCTCCATGGGGGCTCCTGAGAGCCCCTTTTCTGGGTGGGCTTGAGAATGCAGGGTCCCCGATCAGTCGCCTCCCCGCCCGTGCCCTTGGGGGCCAGTTTTGAGATAGCTGGAGTCTTTGGCCCATGGTGTTGGAGTTGGTTCTCGGCTCTGTGCACTCGGGGGTCCCTCTTGGCTGCCAGCACGGACAGCAGGCCCGTGTTCCCCTCACGGCCTCGACCTCCTTGTCTCCTCTCTCAGGTTCCTCGGTTCCTCCCAGCTGAGCACAGGCCCGCGGCCTGACCCAGAGCCCGCCCACCCGGGCCCCACTGCCTGTCATCGGGCGTCTGCTCAGATCGTCCGTTCCTGGATTCCAGGCCCCATTCTCAGAGACTCAGATCAAGCGCAAAGCGCCTGTTGGTTCTCGTGCATAAACACGTTTCCCTATAAAGGAAGGGGAGTTCTGAGCTTCAGAGACGTTCGAGTAGGAGCCAGGAGGCTGCCCTCCTGCCCCTCCATGCCGCTTGTTCATCAGGGAAGGGGCAGCACTCCCCCCTGGCTGGGGCTCCCTGGCGCACTCGCCCACACATCCTGGCACAGGGTGGGCATGAGGGTTTGGCGGGAGGAAAGGCCCATTGCCGCCACAGGAGCATCCGCTTCATGTTGGATTTTCGGGACAGTTCGAACAAGCCCCATCACCTCTCCAGGTGGCTGCAGAGGCCAGTGGTCAGCTCCAGTTTGAAGTGACCGAAAGGCAGTTGCTCCCCCTCCCCTTGCTCTGCTCACCTCCCGAGCCCCGTCCTGACCCCACAACATTCAGTGTCCAGGAAGGAAAGTGCCCTCACCTGCTCCGCGAGGCCAGCGGCCGCACTCCAGAAAGTGGCACCTGCAGGTCTTGGCTGCAGGGTCTCCGAGCCCAGTCCCATGTGCCACCCACGTGGGCGAGCAATGTCATTGGTGCCCTTTAGCTGGTGGGTCAGCCCATGAGCCCGGTGAGGAGCGGCCCTCCACAGGGTCCGGGGAGGGGCAGGCACCCCTGAAAGGGACTGTAGCTGTCACCGTTGAGTTACTTGAATTGACTCTGAGGGTCCCTGGACTAAGCCCACCGTGGTTGCTCATGTATTTCATGTCTCCGGGCAGTACCATGTGCGGCATAACTGGGGACATAGAAGCCAGTAGCTGGCATGTCTCCAGCCCTGCTCCCCAACCCCGCCCCGGGCGACCTGGACCAGAGGGATGGGCTGCAGGTGCATTGTTGCCCATGGTCATCACGGAGCGGACATCAGGGGCAGGAAGGTGGCCAGTTTGCCCTGTTGGCCGGCCGGTGCTGTCAGCGCTGCCAGGTCCTCGGGGAGAAGGCCCAGCCAGCAGAGATGGGCCCCCGATGGTCGGCAACCTTGCTGGAGGCCCCAGCAGAGGGGGCGGCTATAGGGGTTTGCCTGGGCGTCCCTGGAACAGATGGGCTTAGAGAAGCCGGGGCAGGGGCACAGCGGGGCGGGGCACAGCAGGGAGGGCGCTTGCCTTACACATGGCCAACTGAGTTCGATCCTGGCACCCCCCCCAAACACTGTCCCGAGCACAGAATCAGGAGTCAGCCCTGAGCATTGCCGGGTGGGCCCCAAAACAGGAAGAAGCAGCAGCTGTGGGTGAGGAGGTTTAGCTGCAGAGGGAACCCTGGGGACTGTGACGCGGGCGGGCAGTGGCTCACGTCCAGGACGCAGAGCTGCCCAGTCGCCACTGCTACAGCCAGCCTCAGACACCAGCTCCTCTGCAGGCAGAAACGAGACCACGCATGATCGGGCCCCGCTGGCAGGTCAGAGGAGAAAGGGCGTGTCGTTAGCTCCCCCACCGTGTTTCCAGGCGCTTGATGAGATCCGCACTCAGGGCCACCAAGGAGTGTCTCTGACCAGCCCGTCTCTGCAGGCGGCTGATCAAGGAGACGAAGGCAGGGCCAGGGAGGGCCCAGGGTTAGGGGCTAGAGTGACAGGACAGTGGGGAGGGCACTACCTTGCCCGTACCGACCCGGGTTCCAGCCCTGGCACCTCAGATGGTCCCAGAAACCCGCCAGGAGTCAGTCCAGAGCACTGCCAGGTGTGACCCAAAAACAAGCGGGGGTGAAAGAAAGAAGTCCTGAGTGAGCTCTGAGCTGAGTGGCTACACGTTAAAGGTGTGATGTTTGGGGTCCCCTCCGTGCCCCTGCCTGGGAGGTGCCTCTGGGAGGGCCAGCGGGACTGTGCCCAGGCCCAGGGGGCAGGAGAAAGGTCAGCCTGTCTCCCACAGAGAGGGACGTGGCCTGCCACAGAAACCCACATGGGCCCCAAAGGCTTCCACCACATTCCTTCTAGAAGGTTCTGCTTCCCTCGGGCTGGAACCCACGCTGGGGCCAGAGAGGCCATACAGGCCGGCGCCACCTTCCTTCAGGACGGTCTTGCCCTTCTGTGCCCAGAGGCAGCCTCACCAGCTCAGCCCACAGGGCCGGGGAGGCCTTTCCTGAGGACCCCACCCCCAAAAGGTGGCCACACCCGGGCTGGGGGCCAGAGGTACCTGCCTGTGGGTGTGGCCCCAGGCCTCGTCGGAGCAGGGAGAGGGGCAGAGAGAGGCTTTGCATGGGCACGACCCCCACCAGGTAGGACCCCCACAGCACAGTTAAAAGCAGCCACACCTGCCCCTGGCCAAGCACCCCCGTTTCTTCCAGCTCTCTCTTTGTATTTTGGAGGGGTTGCGGGCACACCCGGCGATGCTCAGGGCTTCCTCCTGGCGGTGCTCAGGGGACTCTATGGGGGACAGCATGCAAGGCAAATGCCCTTGGACCCCTTGCTGCTGAGTGAGGGGCTTTCAGGAACGCAGGAGGGAGGATGCGTTTCAATACAGACAGTGCTGTGGGAGTTGGTGCTTCTAGACAAACGCCCTTGGCTGCAGGGGGAGGGGCCCCAGCAAACAAAAATAGTGTCGTGAGAGCCAGGGAGATGGGACAGTGGGGAGGGCACTTGCCTTGCACCGGCCTGAACCGGGGTTCAGTTGGACCTGGGTTCAATTCCTGGTATCCAATAGGGTCCCCTAAGCACTGCCAGGAGTGATCCCTAAGTGCAGAGCCAGGAGTAAACCCCTAGTCACCAGGTGTGGCTCAAAAACCAGAAAAAAACAGTGCCCTGAGGGCCACTCACCATGTCACCAACATGGTGCTAGGGTGGGGGGGCGGGGCCCTGAGCTGCAGGTGACGGTGCTTCCCTGGACAGGTAGAACTGGCTCTCACCAGATGCCCAGCACTGCCTGGGGGAGGGGTGAGGGGCGAGGCATCAAGGGTCAGCTCAGACCTGTGGCTGGGCGACAGGGCCCGCGTCATACCTGGGCAGGGCTGCCGAGGGGAGGTAGGTACCCCTGGGGCAGTTTCCTGGACAACCTGCCCACTCCTCTGCCTTCCCACTTTTCTCTCCCAGTGCTGGAAAACTCCTGCTCGCCCTGCAAAACCCTATTCACAGGGCTGGCAATCCCCACCCCAAGGAGAATTCCTCTTTCCTTCCCCTGCCTCGGTAGCGGCTCTGTCCCGACACCGCACCATCCTCCTTCATGGCTCCTGCCCACCGGAGCTGACATGCGCCCTCCCTGCCCCTCCGCAGCCTGGCCCTGAGTCTCACACTCTCCTCTCACCCTCCAGGGCCGACGAGATGGAGATGACCATGACGGACCTGGAAAGAGCCAACCAGGTAGGACCTTGCGGCAGGCTGGCGCCTTCCCCCGCCGCCACCCCATGCCTGGAGCATTTGTACCTGGTGCTTTTGATGATGCTGGGGGGGCGGGGGCAGGTGCGGAATTCCTGGCGGCTTTTCCCAGGTGGTGTCCTTCCTGCTGCCAAGTGGACAGCGTAGCCCCCGCCCAACTCCAGAGAGGGCCGTCAGTGTCAGGGCAAAGCCCCTTGGTGCAGCCCCTGGCACCCCATAGAACCCTAAAGCCTTGGGTGTCAGTCTGTTGGCGCTTTCAGAGAAAGGACCCGAACTTTTCCGGGACCTAAACTCGGAAGGTGCTAGAAGGTTGGCTAGTTTGCACTTGTCAGATTCCTTGCCAGCACCCTTTCCCGATGGCACTCCCTCTAGGGGACAGTTGCCCTGGGATGGGGGCTTTTCCCAGCCTCACATGGTAGCTGCCCTGGAGCCAAGGGACATCCTGGCGGCCAGTGTCCCTGGTTGTCGGTCAGAGGGCGCCCTAAGGGATGTGGAGGGCCTGTGGGCCTCACTACTTCTGACTGTGAAGCCCCAGGACAGTTGCGTGTCCCTCCAGGCAGGGGGTGGAGCATCCTTGCACACCAGTGCGTCAGCCCATGCCCTGCCAGGACTCTCGGCGGCCAGAGTCCCCTGGTGTCGGTCAGAGCCTCCAATACATCTGCCTCCAGCTCTGCTCAGAACACACGAAGACTTGACGTTTTCTCCTGCCAATTTCCAGCTAAGAATTTTAAGACCAAGAAGAATAACGGTCCACTGAGGCCACTCGCACCAGGGGCCTTGGTCATCGCCTGGCCATCTTTGGCTCCCACAGGGGCCCTCTGTCTCCTGTGTCTCCACGGCTCCTGTGTCCCAGTTCATAGCTGCGCTCCTTCCCCTCCCAGCCTTGGTTTACTGTTCCATAGCAAAAACAAAGGTGGCAGCCCCCCCGCACTTAAGCGTGCTCCGAAGAGCAGCTCAGAGGGGGCCTCTGGGGGCCTCCAGGCAGCTATGCCCCCTGGGGTGTGTCAGGTGGCTCAGAGCTTGCCCCCCCCCCCCCCCGTGCTCGTCTCAGACCCCGGGGCTCTCGACCATCAGCATGGCCGGGCGGGGTGGCCTGTACAGGGAGCTGGAGCGCCCTGGCCCACCCCGGCCCCACATGGCCTTCCTGCTGCATCTCCCCCACACGATGCCAGGATCCACCCAGGAACCAAGTCTCCCTGCTACAGACACCGCCTGCGCCCAGAGCAGCCACTGGACCATGTGGCACCGCGCAAACCACCCCGACTCCTCCGTCTCCGGTTTTTACTTTGTTCACATTCCGGGATATAAGCCCCACTCCAGTCAGTCCTAAACCCCGTGGGTCTTGAAAAAGTTGCACTTAAATTGCCAAGTCGAGCCAGACGTATCTGAAGGTGTTGACTCGAGGCATGGACCATGGAGCGACAATGGGCTGGACGTGGGCATTGAGAGACGTTGGGGCCTCCTGACTTCCCAGCCGCCGCCCTCGGTCCTGAGCAGCCAGTGCCCACTCGAGACCCTACACACAAAGCCGGTGCCGCGACATGCCAGTCCCAGACCACTGGTTTGTGGCCCGCGGGTCTGAACCTGCGTCACCACTCTGGCAGACGCGGACCCTGCCCAACTGAGACCTTCGATGAAGGCGGTCAGAGCCGCGTCCTGGCAGGCCATGGGGACTTGACATCCAGAATCCAGCTGATGTCGTTCTCTCCCTGCTGTCTGGACACACCTCAGAAACCTTCAGCACCGGGTCTGAAAGTCATTTGGAGGGGCCGTCCTTTGTCCCCGAGAGCAGATTTCCTGCCATCAGGATCAACTGGAAACCCCTGCCAGCCCGGCCAACCCACTGCTGGCGAAGGTGGTTCTGAGTCTGCCCGGAGGTACAGACGGGGGCTGATGCATGAGTGAGGTCGAAGCCAGTCAGTGTCTCCAGAAGAAGCAACCCAAAGCTCCAGTGTGCCTGTGTGGGTCAGAGCCACAAGACAGCCGGACCCGCCCACGTGTCCCACCGTGTCTCCTTCCATCGCCGTCAGCGATGGGGAAACATTCATGCCCCCAGACGAGAAGGCCCGAGGCTGCCCTGCAGGGCCAGGCCTTCCCTTTAGCAGGACAGGGCTGTGGGCAGCCGGGGGCAACTGCCCGTTCGCTTCCTCGAATGCCACTGTGAGATCAGCACTGCCCCGTCAGACCCCGACCCTGGTCACTGTCACTCCGCAAGGGAACCTGAGACCTGTCAAGGCATTGAGCTGGGCTCGCCTGCCCAGGGCCGTCCATTCCCAGGTACCGCTCCTGGCCTCTGTGCCGCCAGGCTGCCCAGCTGGCCGGCACCTGTCCAGAGGGAATTGCCCGATTCCCGTGAGCGTCCCCCCCTCTCCCGGCCGCCTCTTCTTCCATCGACCCCCGCGGCCCTCCCGCGTCTGCCCTCACACTGGAAGCGCCGGCACACCCCGTCGGCTGAAGGGTTAACCATGTTGAAGTCGGCCAGGCCTCACAAAAGAAGTGGCATTTACACCCCGGCCATTTATGGAAATAGTTGCTGAAGGGAACAGCCGCAACATTGTGCCTGGGTTTGGGGAGAGAATGACCCGAGTGTCTGTAATTCACTGTTTACCCGGGAGAATTACTCCCAGGAGTAATCCTGCAATAAAATCGTCTTGGTCTATGAGAATAGAAAGAAATTGAATCAAAAGACTCTATTTCCACTTGTATTTATTCAGTCTGGGAAATTCAGTGGGCCGGAGTATTAGTATCAGCAGGGGAGTCCTTGCTCCTAGCGTTAAATTACTGTCATAATCGCTCAATTATTTCTTCCTTGTACTGTTTAAAATAAAAATCCATCACATTCTCTGTTTTTTCCCCAGCATTTATTAGGTTGACTGTTTAGGAAAATCAATTATAGTCAGTCAGGCATGAATTGATGAATGTTCCTGTAATAATTGTCAGTTGTTAAACCGAATGTACTTTCTCTCCTCGCCCTTTTCACGCCCTCCAGAGGGCAGAGGTGGCACAGAGAGAGGCGGAGACCTTGAGGGAGCAGCTCTCGTCGGCCAACCACTCCCTCCAGCTGGCCTCGCAGATCCAGAAGGCGCCGGACGTGGTGGGTAACCTGCCGGGGTTGGAGGGGGCACCTCCACCTCGACTCCTGACTCCCGCTTCAGGGGGGGCACTGCTCTCAGGGCGGGGAGCATTCGCGGCGGTTTGGGGATGGGAGTGGTTAGGATCAGAGGCCGAGCGTGGCCCATGCAGTGTCCCTGAGGTCAACAGAGGGAACAGGGTTGATCCCAGCACCAAAGAGCAAACAGTGCGCACGCACACACACTCTCGCTCACACACACACACACACACCAGCCCCGCCCCCCCCCCCCCCCCCCCCCAGGTGCCTGGCTGCTGGCAGGACACCTGATCTGGCCTGGGGCTGGAGCATAGTGCAGTCGGGAAGAAAGAAAATCAGCAATTTGGTCTCTCCTAGATGTGACCGTTGAGAGCAAGAAAAGAGTTTGGGACAGGCCCAGGAGGCGTTAGGCGCTGCCCCTCAAGCCGCTACCATCCCTGCAGCCCGTCTGGGACCCCTGGAGCTCTGGGCGGTGGCTGTGGCAGGTGTGAGACCCCAGCAGCACCCGACCATGTGCGCCTCCCCACCCCCCCTCCGGGGCAGAGGAGGACCCAGTAATCAGGACACTCGTGCTGAGATGCGGCCCTTTCCTCCCAAGTCTCCAGTACAACCCTGCTGTTAGCTCAACTCCTCTGCTTGAGGGACACTGTTCGCTGCCCGTGTGTGGGAGGAGCTTCATGCCGTGGCCAGGGAGGCTTCATGCCCATGTGTATGTTTAGGAGGGGCTTCATGCCCGGGTCTGGGAGGGGCTCCATGCCCATGTCCAGAAAGGGCTTCGGTGCCCATGTCCTGAAGGTACCCATGTCCCAGCCTCGAGTTCAGAGCTGGCCTATTGGCAGCTACGGGACTCCCTGAACCTGGTTCTTGCCCATCCTGGGCATCTCCTCTGGTGCTAGAGGCACATACAGCCCGATACCCTGGTTCTCACCAGCGAGACTTTGTCTCCTCCAGGGTCTTGTCACAGCCACCAGGGCCTCAGCGCCGAGTCGGGCTCAGCGACTCTGAATCGTCCTTGGGAGAAGACCCCTACTTTAGACCGGAGCTTTGCCTCTGTTTGGTTTTGGGGGTGGGGGGGCTCACAGCCAGCCATGCTAAGGGCTTCCTCCTGCCGTGCTTGGGGTAACATTTGGGGTGCCAGACCCCACCCGGTTCAGCTGTGCCAGGCTGTTCCACCGCCCTGGCCCTGTCATCCTCAGGACTCAGCTCCTTCAAGCATCCTGTTCTTGGCCCCCTGCAGACACTCTCTGCTCTTACCTGAGCTGGCCCATCCTCTCAGCCCAGGGGCCAGGTCCGGGTGGTGCTGGTGCCGACACCAGCCCCTGGGACTGCCCCCGAGGTCTCTCCTAGTCACCCGGGGGCCTCAGGAGGCCTCACCCGTCCTCCCGTGGCTGCGTGGGGCTCTGCAGGAAACTGCCTTGATTGAGACGCTCTCTGGCACCGTCTCCCACCGCAGCAACCAAAACATTTCAGAAGGAAATGGATGTTTTTGCAGGGAGAGGAGGTGGTGGATCCGAGGGGCGCTTAAGCACTTCACCATCGGCTAAGTGCGGTATTTACATGGCAGCGGCTCAGCCCGCCCGGCCCTGCCAGCGCTCCCCAGGGCTGCGTTCCCACGAGCAGGCGGCCCCCTGCCATCTCCTACCAGTCGTGGAGCAGACACGGGAACCGGGGCCAGCGCTGAGAGCGCCCCACTGGAGTTGGCGGGCAGAGACACGGCACCATCTCTGGGTGTAGCTAGAAGCCGAGCGTGAGAGGGACAGGCGGGGGCACCCCTCTGCCTCCGTGCCCCACATCTCACAGGTGGGAAGTCTGAGGCAAGTTGACCCAGGACATACCTGCTGGTGGTGACCCTCAGTCCGGTCTGAGGGACATCGATGCTGTCATGGCCTTGCCGCTAGCGCAGCCAAGCAAGGCACACCACACCGGGCCTCCATGTGACACTCCACCCCCTCCCCCAGCCCCCAACTTCACAAGCGCACAGTTCACAGGAGAGTGTCCCCGCTGAATGCAGCTGCTCTGGCCACGTGGTGGCGGCAGGCAAATGGCCACGGGTTGCTGGGGTGGGCAGGACACACGAAGGCGAGCCAGGCCCCCTCACCCCATGGGTTTGTGGGTTCAGCCAGGCTTCTCGTGCCCATCTTGTCTTGAGTCGGTGTCTCCCAGGCCAGCCAATGGACTCTTTCCCTCTGCTTCACTTTTTTCTTTTTTTTTGGTGAGGATTGGACAGGGGCCACAACCTACTCTGCTCAGGGCTGACTCCTGGCTCCGTGCTCAGGGATCACCCATGGCAGGGCTCAGGGCACCCAGGCCTGCTGCGTGCAGAGCACAGCACCTTCATCCTGTGCCATGTCGGGCCCTGGCATCTCTGGCCTGGCAGAGAGCAGCAGGCAGGGCCATTGGCAGCTCCCCCCCACCCTGCCATCTCAGTCGATGCCAGGCAGGGGGCAGCCAGGGGAGCAAAGGGGTCACGGACCAAATTCTGGGCCCTCGGTGAGCTACTTGTTCTCACCCCCATCTCTGGGAACTCCCTGCCACTCAGTTTCCGGAGCCCCTCGGCTTGTTCCATATTCTCTGTCCAGCGTGCTCACTCACTCACACAGAACAGGGAGGCCCCGCCAGGTCTGGAAGCCGGGCTGGGACTGTCCCTGCCATACATGTCCCAGCCCTCACCCCAAGTGCCAGGCGAGGTGTGAGGCAGCCCGTCTCCCTCCGTTCAGAGGACCCCCAGCTGCCGTCTCACGTCTGTTCATTCTCAAGTCCCACGTGACCTGGGTGCCTTAGCGGAGGCCTGGACAGCCCCAGGGGAGCCAGGGCCCTTGGACCTCAGGGTCCACACCCTTCCTGGTTCCCTGCACCCTGCTGGCCTGCCTGTCCTCGGGGCCCTGCAGCCACACGCCCCGCTTGGGGATGCCCCGTTGCGTCTTGTGTCTTCTGATCGGGAGCACAGGAGAAAGGCCTCGGGCGTGAGCCCTGTTTCGGCCTGGAATGTTCTCTCTCATTTCCAAGGCCTGTGGGATGTTTTCCTATTTCGCCTCTGCCGCTTGCTTTGCCGGGAATGCAGAGTCTGAGGCCCGGGTTCCTGGGAGCCGGCTGCCATGCCCTGGGCCCCTACCCAGTGCCCACTGACCGTGTCACTGGCTTTATAGTCGGGTTTGAACCCGTGACCCCATTTTGCTCACTTTCTCTCACCTGCGTGGACCCCTGCAGGCCCTGCCCTGCGGGCTGGGCCGCGGTGCCATTCCCCAGCCCCCATGTCCCTCCCCTCCCTGGATGTTACCTCTGTCCCTTCCCTGCCCCCGGCACAGCATTCCTTCTTGCTCAGAAACCCACCCCCACACTGGCCTGTTTCTCCCCGACACCCACCCTCAGCTCAGCCCCTGCCGCCTGCAGTGACTTTTCCCAAACTTGGCGAAGGATCATTCTGTTTTGCTGATGTAAGTTTCCAATCTATTGCAGCCTGAACGTTTTTATAAAAGGCTGTAAAAGTGTCACAGCAGTGCCGGGTGGCCATAAAAGTTCTAGGCCTCTCAATTTCTGCACTTGCCTCCCCACGTGCCAGTAAGTTTGTGAGTCCACTCCGTCCCGTTCCGCGGGGCTCGGTCTGAACAGAACACCCTGTGCCTGCCCAGGACACTCAGGCCACACCGTCAGCCGTGAGAACGTGTTTCCCGATGGGAGGCACTAAACCAGGAGTGGCCTCTTGACACACAAAATCTGCACCTTTTTTTTTTCTTTTCTTCTTTTTTTTCTTTTGTGTGTGTGTGTATGTGTGTTTGGGGTTTTGTTTTTGGGTTTTTTTTTTTTTGGTTTGGGGTTTTGGGGTCACGCCTGGCGATGCGCAGGGGTTACTCCAGCCTCTGCACTTAGGAATTACTCTTAATGGTGCTCCAGGGACCACCTGTGAGCCCTCAAGGACAGTCACCTCCTTCCTTGGTCCCCCCTTCCACCCAGAGCAGGCTGAGTCAGGAGGGGCTGAGGCCCACCTCAGGGGAGGGGGAAGCTCCTGCCCCCAGGCCTGTCAGTTCACACTGCCCCGTGCCCTTTGGAATAGCTACTGCTGAGAAGCTTCCAGAACCATGTGGGAGACAGAACTCCAGGCCCTGGGAGCAGCACTTCCTTAGCCACAGGAAGTGAAATTTCCAGTTTGATTTTCTTGTATCATTTTCCCCCAGTTTTGCAAATCAAAGACTTGGAATCCTAAGAATTTCTAAACTGGGGAGCCAGGGAGATCATATGGGGGGGGGGGGCGCTCGCCTGGTACGCAGCCGCCCAGGTTTGATCCCCACCCCCAGTGCCACCTGGGTCTCCCCAGCCCTGCCCCAAGCACCGCCAGGTGTAACCCCAAAACCAGAAAAATATTCCCAAGCCAAGGAAGCACATTATGCCTCATCCTCCTTAGCTCCTCTCCAAATGCTCAGAGTCTCCTCACCAAACCCCGTGAAAGCCTGGATACTCAGTGCTGACCCAAAAGGGCTCCAGTCCATCCCGGGGGTTGCGAACCTGGTGCCTCTCCACCTTCCCCGCCCCCCCCCCCCCCACGCCCTCACCAGGCTCCATCTGTCGCCACCGTTCAGTCTGTCCCCAAGTACCACCATCTTGGCAAGGTGCCTCCTGCCCATGAGGACCAGCCCGGGCCCTGCCCGGCCGCCTCCGCGTGAGGACAGAGGTCTGTCCTCCTGTCCACTGGGTGTCTGATCCACGGGGTCACTCAGGAAAGGCACATGGGAGAGTCAGCAGGGGGCAACTCCCCACGTGGACAGGAAGGAGGTGTGAGAAGGCCCAGCAGAGACGTGCCATGCCCCTGCCCGGGGAGGTGCCGGTGGTCACTCTGTTGTCTTCCCCAGGAGCAGGCCATTGAGGTGCTGACCCGCTCCAGCCTGGAAGTGGAGCTGGCCGCCAAGGAGCGGGAGATTGCCCAGCTGGTGGAGGACGTGCAGAGACTCCAGGCCAGCCTCTCCAAGCTGCGGGAAAACTCGGCCAGCCAGATCTCCCAGCTGGAGCAGCAGCTGAGCGCCAAGAACAGCACCCTGAAAGTAAGGGCACCGGGAGCTGGTGGGGGAAGGAGGTGCAACATCACACACACACACACACACACACACACACACACACACACACACACAGGCCTGGTGATCGGCTCCTCCTGCCCACACCTCAAGGAGTCACCTGTGGTCTGTGCAGGCCACGGGGAACATTTGGGAGGGACAGGGGACCACCCCCCCAGTCAGTGTCGGGGGACACCGTGACAGCCAGTGGGTAGGACCATCTGGTGCTGAGACCAGGTGGTGGCCAGGCTCAAACCCAGGTGCTCACACGCGCCCCCTGGGCCCTCCGGCCCTTTGCATCACTGCCCAGCCCCTGGGATCCGTCTGTCCTGTATGTCAGGTAACAGCACCATGTCCCCCAAAGTGCTCCTCAGAGCCCTTCTCCGAGACACGGGGCCGGGCTGGGCGTGGAGATGAAGATGCCCCCGACCAGGCCAGCTCTTGCCCCTGTCCTCGGTGCGCTGCACCCAGACTTGCAGCACCGCAGGCCGCCCGGACCCCCATGAAGCTGTGTGTCCAGGTGGGGGCAGGTCCCTTGGCCTGTGCAGCGCCCTGCGTTCCCCCAGCACTCACCACTAATATCCCAGGCCGCGGTGGGTCAGAAGTTCCCCGTTCTCGGGGGAGAATCTCGGGGAGATTTGTGCCCCAGATTCAGAGTCCAGAGTTGTTTCCTTTATGTCCTTCCCAGCTGCTCTGGGATCACACTGTCATCCTGGGACCCCGATTCCCACGCCCTAGAACCACACAGGATGCCACGGAGGTGTCCTACTGGATGACAAGAGACATCTCTGTCACCTGAGCCCCTGAGGCCCCGCGAACACGTGGAGCTGAGTTGCGGCGGCTGTTGGGAGAGCTGGGCCTCCCGGCTTCAGTCTAGAACAAAGCTCGGACTGTTTGAACTTTGTAAAAGGGGATTTTCTCCAGGGCCGGAGTGATAGGACAATGGGGCAGGTGCTGGCCCTGCATGCAGCCAATTTGGGTCCAGTCCCCGGCGTCCCACAGGGTCCCCCGAGTCTCACCAGGAGTAATTCCTGAGTGATGAGCCAGGAGTGAGCCGTGAGCACCACCAGGCATGGCCCAAAAAACGAAAAATGGTTGGGGGAGAGAGTGGGTTCCTCCAACATAATCGTGTTTCTAACCCAGAACCGAGAATTCCGCCTGGTGTATCTTTGAAGGCCAAGGGCCCGCCTCGTTTTCTCCATCTCTAGGTCAGCTCTGATTCCCGCATGTTGTAGCGTCTCCGCCACGGCTGCCCCACAGCTAATTTGCCAATTTGCCTTCCCTTCCCTCGTCCCAGCGACAGGCACTGTGTGACCGTGGGCTGTGGAGTGTCTGAGTGCGTGGGGCAGAGGGCAGCTCCTGGCCTTACATGTCTCATTACGGAGCATTTTGTGCTAAGTCCGCCCTAGCTTTTTAGTGTTTGCCTGCCCCAAAACAAAAAGGAAAAAGAGAAAAAAGAAAAGAAACACAGCTTCACAAATTAATGTTCTTTATCCATATCTTGGGGGAATTCTTTAATGCTCCGCAGTTAATGAAACAATTCGGCCATACTTCTTCCAAAATTATTGCTCCCTTATCTTCATCTGATCTAATAATCAAAACATATCCCCTAGTAACAAGACTTCTCAGATTTTAATCATCGTAACCCCCTTGTCGCCAGGAGAGATTTCCCCACCACCAAACCTGCACGCAGAAGGCACCACCCCCCGCTCATAAGAGCGGCCCCTCCAACCCAAAGGAATAAGGTTAATTGAATGATACCTTCCTGGGGCTCAATTTTTTTTTTCCTAATGTGTTTATAGTCTCAAACCTGAGCCACACAGCCAGAGAGCTGCCAGGGAGCCGGTTTATGAATGAGACCATGTTTGCTGGCAAGTGACTCCTGTCCCCGGGGCCTCCCCTGCAGTACCCACCTCTGGAGCCGCTTCCGGCTGCCAGTCTCCCTGCCCTCTGGGGAGGGGACAGTCCCTGCCAGGGGTTGCAGGTGGGCAGAGGCTGAGCGGTCCGAGCTGGCCGGGGAGGCCCCTTTGTTCCTGGGCTCCTGTAATGGGGAGCGGGTGGATTGGCCTTCTGCAGCCCCGAACTCACCCCCAGCCCAGCTCTGCATTTTCGGATGAGCTCACGTGTCAGCAGCCACTGTCTTGGCGCAGCCTTTAAGTCAAGGTCACCATAAATGTCCCCCAGGCTGTCTGAGTGCGGTGGCACAGCCTTGGAATCTTCTGGTGAGCCTCAAGACAGGCTCGGTGGCAGAAACTATGCCTTCCCGCCTGATCAGACCCAGTCCGAGACCTTAAGCATCGGTCACTCGTAGGGGACCATCCCGGATCTCACCAGTGCAGCTGCCCCACCGCCAGTTTTGGGCCACAGAGCGTCGTCATGGAGACGAGCTGCTCCGTGAGCGGCCTGTCCCCAACAAGCGGTCCCCGTGCTCCCCAGAGGGTGGGCCAGGGGTGCCTGCTGCCCAGTGCTAGGTCCCCAGGGTGCCACCAGTTCCACACTCCAGTCCAGGGGCCACACGAGGACAGCAGGGGACATCTGGCTCCTGACCCCCCTCTTGGCCTTCAGACAGTGCTACCCGCAGCTCAGCTCGGCCTGGCCCCTGGACACGGTGCGTGGCCCCTCCCTGGCCTGAGGCTGACCGCCTTGATACTTAGCTGTGCCCAGGAAGTTGGTTCCCCCCTGGGCCTCTGCCACAGCTGGTGGCACACGTGCTCCCGGAAGCCTGGGCCAGGGTGGGGTGATGTGGCACCTTCTGTTCGGTTTTCTGTTTTTGTGGGGCCAGGGAGGGGGAGCCAGAACTGCGCACCCACAAACACTCTTCACCAAGCTCCAGCCCAGCCCTCACTTGCTGCATCTTCGGGCCAGGATAGATAGTTCAGCTGACCCAGGTTCAGTCCCCAGCACCCCTGAGCTGCTGGCTGCAGCCCCCCAGAAAAGATACTTGCATCTTCCACTCCCTTTCCTTAGTACTCAGCCCAGCCAGACTTTTACACACTCGGAGAGTGAATCCCAGCAGTTCACCTGCTGTCTTGGGGCTTGAACCTACAGCCTGCCTTGGGTAGGGCTGTCCTGGTGCCGCTGCAGGCTGTCACCCCGAACCCTGGCCTCTGAAGCACAGAGCTCTGCGGGAGGCGCCTCGGCCCCAGGCTACACCCAGCCAGGCCCTTCGGGGTCACTATTCAGCTCCTGTTTCTTCACCAGCTGAAAGGTGACTTGCATGTCCAGAGGTGCCGGGCCGAGTGGCTGACGTGGCCTCCAGCTGCGTTCTGACGGTTTCCACCTTCCTTGTGCCCTCTGAACACACGCAGTCTCGGGGGGCTCCCCCACCTCCCACAGTGTCCCCGTGCTACCCTCGGACACTGGCTCAATCCCAGGTGCTGCATGGCCCCACGGTTGGTGCCAGGAACAGCCCCCTGGGACCGCCTAGTGGGGCCCAGACCCAAACCACACAAACCAGGAAGTCCCAGAGGCTACAGGCACCAGCGGCTCCCTGAACACGGGTCCCTGGACAGTGGGGTCCCAGGCAGACTGGGAGCCCACTGGGTCCAGGAGGTAGAGGTATGGTGCCTGGCACAGCCGGGAGCCCTCAGGCTGCAGACACGTTCAAGCCCCCAGACCTGGCCAAGACCACAGCTGTGGCCCCACACCTGGAGGGCTCAGAGAACTGTCCCCCAGAGAAGCCACTGGCCAGCAGCTCCCCCAGCCCCCACCAGACCCTCCACCCCATGTGGGGGACAGCAGCTCTTTCTAGACACAGCAGCTCAGCAACAGGGGCAGGCGGCTCAGTGGGCAGCGCCCTCAGAGGAGCTGACCCCCTCTTGCTGGTGTTCCCCACCCCCAGGTCTCCATGCTCTGGGGCTTTTCGCTGCTGTGGGGGTAAATGTGAGTTCACATCCACCACCATCCCCTGGGTCCAGCTCAGAGAAAGGGCCATGACGTCGTCTGCCCTGGAATGGGGGCATTCAGGTGCCAGCCACCAGCTGCTGGACAGGGAAGTAGGTTGATGGAGTGTCCGGCCCGAGAGCTGCTCTGAGAGGGCCCCTCGAAGCCATCCTCTCACCCATTCCACTGTCACCTCCCAAAGCCAGCCACAACGCAGGACTCTCCGGGGGGCCTCGGGCCTGTCTCACACGCACCCACTAACAAACTCCTCTCTGCTTCCAGCAACTGGAAGAAAAACTGAAAGGGCAGGCGGACTACGAGGAAGTGAAGAAGGAACTGAAGTGAGTGAGGATCCGCTGGGCTAGGCTCGCCTTCCCCCCACACCCCAAGCCTCTCCCGAGATGGCCGGGCGACGTCCCACCTGCCTCCATAGGATGGGGAAGGGTGTGAAATGGGGCTGTGGGTTCCCACCGGGCTGTGTCCCCCAGCCCTCTGCTCACCCTCTTCCCAGTGCCAGGGACCCTCCTGCCGCCAGCTCCTCCCCTTCCGGCCCCTCCCCCGGAGCCCACCCTTCAGCAACCGACAGGAAATGGGGGTCTCACTCACTATGGACCCCAGAACCACTCCTGCTGCCACTGGCCCAGCTTTTCCTGCAGGCCCCAGGCCCAGCTGCCAGCCTGCTCTCGGGGGCACTGTGTACCCTCCCAAGCACCCTCACGGGCCCTGTTGCCCACCCCACTTCCCAGGAGCTAGCCCTCACCTCCACATTCACAGCCCCAGAAGAACAACTTCTGGAACCCATCCAGCCCCCCAGAAACCACACTCCAGGGCCTCTGTGCCCACCCTAGTCCCCCACAGCTGTTCCCACCTTGTGCATCACAGGACTGGGTGGGAAGCACAGCTTCCAAGTTGGCCTTGATGCGCCATCCTGGAGATGTCAGCCCCTGGAGAGGGCGCAATGGCTGGCAAGGGGCAGCCCCGCAGCTCCAGGAAGCCCCAGACGAGCACCAGGTCCTGCCATGCTCTCCTAGCAGATGCTTCCACAGATGAGGCCACCCAGCATTACTGCGTTCCTGCCGTGTCTGTTGGGGGGCGAGGGGTCACCCCAGGACCACCAGGGAGGGCCACGCACAGCCAGACAGACCCTCTCCCTCTCTGGGCCTCGTGCCGGGGCCGTGGGTCACAACACACACATCTGAGCTCCAGGGGCAGCACTGGTGAGAGCTGCCAGTCACACCCCACGGATGTCCTGGGAGGGGACCCCCACCCTGCCCCCCACCCACTGCCAGGTCCCAGAGAGAACAGGTGAAGCTGGCGGCTGCGGTGGAACCTCCTCTGCCAGCCTGGGCAGGGAGGCCGCGTCTGTCTGCCTGGCGCCTGGTGGGTTGGGGCAGGCGAGGTTGCGCCAGTAGCCCCTCGGCTCTTGGCCCCGCACAGACCTGGTGCACACACTGGGTGAGAAACTGGGGCTGGCCTCACTGCTCACAGAATCTTCTAGAGACAGTGGCCTGGCTGCGGGGGGAAGCCATCGGAGCAACGGGCCCCGCTGTCCCCGGCTGACCATGGAAGTGACCTCCCTGCCTTCTCTCTGCAGCATCCTCAAGTCCATGGAGTTCTCCCCGGCCGAGGGCGCTGGGGCCCAGGTATGGGGCACCCGCTTCTCCCCATGCATTCCTGAACCCCATATTCCTGAGACCCCCCCCCACATACACACCTCCCCACAGGCGGCCAGCAGAGTTAGAGCAAGTGACCTTTCATTCCAAAGGGGCAGAGGCCGCACACTGCCTGCCCGCCAGGCTCCATCCCCCAAACCCCACATGGTACCCCAGCCCCGCCAGGAGAGATCCCTGAGCACAGAACCTGGAGTTTCCCTGAGTACCGTCGGGTGTGCCCCAAACCCCCCAAATAATAGCGGACACACAAATCCATCAAGAAGCACGCATGTGGGGCTGGAGCAATAAGCACAGCGGGTAGGGCATTTGCCTTGCACGCCAGCCAACCCGGGTTCGATTCCCAGCATCCCGTATGGTCCCCTGAGCACCGCCAGAAGGAATTCCTGAGTGCAGAGCCAGGAGTAACCCCTGAGCATTGCCAGGTGTGACCCAAAAAGCTGAAAAAAAAAAAAAAAAAGAAAATCACACATGTGGCTCTGCTGGAGGTAGAGAGGAGAGCACCTGGGCCCGTTAGCACGTAGGTCAACACAGTCCCCCTCGGGTGACCCTCCCTTTCCTCTAAAGCTAGAGGAGGCTGGTTTGGGGCTGGGGTACGTGGGGGCCCGGCCTGCACCCTGGGGGTGGAGCGCTTTCAGGATGTCGGGGTTTAGCCCTTGCGAGATGCGGCCCCGGCTGAGCCCTCCCCGCCCGCGCCCCACAGGACTCGTCCAAGCCCCTGGAGGTGCTGCTCCTGGAGAAGAACCGCTCGCTGCAGTCCGAGAACGCCGCGCTGCGCATCTCCAACAGCGACCTGAGCGGTAGGTTGACAGGGTCGCGCGGCGCGCGACAGGAGCCGCGAACCGTGAGTCTGGGCCGGTGCATGCCGGAGTGGCGGGGCCGAGAGCCTGCGCCGGCGCGTGCTGGACCCTCCCGCCGACCCCCTGGTGCCCGCCGTCCAGGTCGCGGTCGCGAGGAGCTGTGTGCGTAACGGGCCGAGCGCCTTGTGTGTGCTGGAGGTCGGGGTGCGCCGGGGGCTCGTGTGTTTCGGGGCCGTGGGGGTCCTGCCCCGCGGGGCTCTGCTGTTGGTCAGGTCGTCCTGGGGTGCGCCACGTCCCGCTTCCGTCCGGCGGCGGCTGGGGTAACCGCGTCCTCGCGTCTCCGGCTCCGTTGGTGTCTCCTAACCGTGCGCGCGCGCTTGCACCGAGCGGCCGCCGTGCGGGGCGCGCGCCCGCCCGGCCCGCAAGGCGAGCGGAACCTGCGGGGGTCAGCGCGGGCCGCTCCTGGGCGGGGCCTCCTGGTCAGAGCGCGACCCGTGGACTCGTTTACTGTGTGTGCTGCCGGCTCCTGTCACCTTAGGGGTTTGAATCGATGTCAAGGGGACTCTCCAGGCTGCAACGTACAAGAAAGGCGCAAACATGAAATGCATGTTGCTGTTTCGGGGGGCCTCGTTTGGCTGATTACAAAAAAAAAAAAAGATTCGATTGAATGAAAACCAACCAACACACCTCATTGGCCCTTGTAAAACCTGCACTTTTTGTTTTTCTTTTTCCCTTTTGTGGGGCAAACTTGGCATTTTGGTCTTGGTTTTTTTTTTTTCCCTTTTGAATCCCCCGTAATGCATTATGTTTGCCCTTCCTTGTAGGGTCAGCCAGGAGAAAAGGGAAAGACCAGCCTGAAAGTCGGCGCCCTGGACCCATGCCGGCCTCCCCTCCTTCTCAGTTGCCCCGCAACCCCGGGGAGCAGGCTTCCAATACTAATGGTACACACCAGTTCTCACCAGCGGGGTTAACGCAAGACTTTTTCAGCACATCCCTGGCAAGCCCCAGCCTACCCCTGGCTTCTACGGGAAAATTTGCACTAAACTCTCTCCTCCAACGACAGCTCATGCAGTCCTTCTACTCCAAGGCCATGCAGGAAGCAGGAAGCACAAGCATGATTTTTTCAACAGGTCCATACAGCACAAACTCCATCTCTTCCCAAAGCCCGTTACAACAGAGCCCGGATGTCAATGGCCTGGCCCCGTCTCCCAGCCAGTCAGAGAGCGCTGGGAGCGTGTCCGAGGGCGAGGAGATGGACACGGCCGAAATCGCCCGGCAGGTGAAAGAGCAGTTGATCAAGCACAATATCGGACAGCGCATTTTCGGACACTATGTCCTGGGACTGTCCCAGGGCTCCGTGAGCGAGATTCTGGCCCGCCCCAAGCCCTGGAACAAGCTGACGGTGCGCGGCAAGGAGCCTTTCCACAAGATGAAGCAGTTCCTCTCCGACGAGCAGAACATCCTAGCACTGCGCAGCATCCAAGGCAGACAGAGAGGTGAGAGTCGCCCGAGTGCGTGCGCGTGCTGGCGGCTGCGTGCGCGTGCTGGAGGCTGCGTGCGTGCGTGCGTGCGTGCGTGTACTGGAGTGTGCAGGCGCTGGCGACTGCGTGCGCGTGTGCGTGCTGGAGGGTGCGGCGCGTGCTGGTGTGTGCAGGCGCGTGCCCAGGCGCGCGTGCTGGAGGGCACCGGCGCGTGCCGGCGCAGAGCGTCGCGTCCACCGACGGGCTGGTCTGGGCTTCTGCCGTTTCCGCAGCCCCAGGGCCGGCCGGCCTCCGTGGTTAGCCTTGGGAGAGCTGGCCTCCCAGCCCCCACCCACCTCACCCCTGCCACCTGGCCTTGGCAGTTCAGTGGGCGTGTGGGCCGGGTTCATTCAGCGCCGCCAGCCCCCGCTCCCCTCCCGCACTGCTGGTTCCTGGGAGAGAGCCTTTGTGTGTTCTTGCCCTCTGTACAGAACAAGGTGACCCTGTTCCCCGCCACCGCCGCCCCCCTTTAGATTCTGTAGCGATTCTTTGAGTTTGGGGCACCACCGGCCTGCCTTGGGCCGGGAGCAGGAAAGTTGAATCCAGACCGCTCCTCCACGGGCTGTACCGTCCGCGGACAGATGGACAGGCAAGGCAGTCGCAGCCCTGGTCGCGAGAATCCCCTTCCCTCTGTGACACGCAGGGCTCATTCTGATAAATCGACAGAGAGGGCTAGCGGGTGGGTGGGAGGGAGGGACGGGGGAGGGAGCCTTATCAGCCACGTTGGAGACATCCTGAAATTCAGCCGCCAAACCAACAGAGAAGGGAATTGTTCCAAGCAGGGTCAGTTTGCACGAGAACACGGAGCCTTTTAGGGCGCTGGTAGCTGCAATGGAAATGGACTGTCTCTGGGTGATTAATGCCAGCTTTGTCCCGGGGGTCTGGTGGGCGATCTCGCTGGGCGGCAGGCCTCCCCTGGCTGACCCTCAGGCTGTGGAGGCCACCGGCCACTCCTCAGCCCCGGGCGGTCCCCCGGGCAGCGGAGCGGGTCTCCCCAAGGCTGCAGCAGCCTCTGAGTCTCAAGGGGAAGCCCCACGCCCTTTCTGTAGCGCCAGGCGGCTCAGATTTCCGGTCACAAAGCCCATCTCGTCAGCATCCCTGTCCCCTGATTGTTTTGTTCTTACCGCACTTGTTTTTCAACAGAGAATCCAGGCCAGAGCCTGAACAGACTATTTCAGGAAGCACCGAAACGAAGAAATGGGGCTGAAGGTATGTCGCAGGCAGGTGCGGTTTCGCAGTTAGGGACCTAGGGAGCAGCATGTCCTTAGCTGTGTATCTGGGGTCAAAACTGTGCAGTGTGATTTCTGGCCTGGACCCTGATGGAAAAACAGCTAGTAAGTATAAAACAAAGCACGGGTTCAGATTCACACGGCCCCTCCCTCCTGAGCTGCCTCTGCTCTACCGAGCGCCCTCCGCCCCCCCACCAGCTCCCCACAGACCCAAGTTCCGCTCCCTCTCGACTCGCAGAGGCAGGTGGAAGGGTTGATAGCAACCGTTGGTCTGAGACAAAACCCAGTGACCAAGTCCAGTGACATACTGCTGCTTCCTTGTGCTCCTTTAAGTCTGAACGGGGCCAAAGGTGTCCCATGTGGACACTTTGGGACGTGCATTTAGGGGTCTCTGGGCCCCTCGGGGCTGGCCAGCTCCTGGGGGCTGCCCCTGCAAAGGGGCTTTGCCCGGTGGTCTTCAGTGATTTCACAGGGCGGTTTATGTTCAGTAAGGCTGAGAGCAATTAACACATGGAGGGGGGGCTTCCCAGAAAGGCCTGGGGCCACCCCTGGGGTGGCAGGAGCCTCAGTCACGGCTGCGGGGCATGTGGCCACTGGCAGAGCACTGCCAAGTGACCATCCTGGCATGTAGGGGATGTCTGTAGCATCTCTGGGTTCGTAGACAAGAGTGTGTGATCGTAGCTCTGGAAACCCCATCCCCTGCTTCGGTTCCCGGCCTCAAAGAATCGGACAGGACCTTGAACACCGGCCCACGCCGAAGCACTTGACGGAAGTGCTTTTAAGTAACCCAGGAGCGGGCCAGAAAGATAGTACAGAGGGTAGGGCGCTTGTCTTGCACGTGGCTGACCTGGGTTCGATTCCCCGGCATCCCACACAGTCCCCCGAGCCCCGCCAGGTGTGACTCCTAAGCATCACCAGGTGTGGCCCAAAAACCAAAGCAAAAACCTCAGGAGAACATTTGCCTTTGTGTCTTTGTTATTTTTTTTTTCAATACTGCATGAGATGGCCGCCCCGCCCTGCCCCTCCCCCCCAGTGGGTGAAGCCCAGCTTGGGGAAGTGTGAGCACTCGTGCTCCAGTGCTCGGGCCAAACCCTCACTAATGGCCTTCCCCGCTCAGGGCTCCCGATGCCTGCAGGTTCAGGCAGTCAGAGGCCGCGCCTGCCTGCTCGCCATCACCAGCAGCCCCCACCCCCATCTCGGGAGCGAGTGACCAGAATGATGCCCCCGAGCCACACTGAGGGCTGGTCCGGGCCAGCTTGGCCTCATGGGCGCGGTTTCTCCCCCACAGGGAGCATCACCACCCGGATCCGAGCGGCCGAGACCGGCTCTGACGAAGCTATCAAGTCAATCCTGGAACAGGCCAAAAGGGAGCTGCAGGTCCAGAAAACCGGTACGGACCCCCCTTTAGGCACTGCCAGGCATCGGGGTGAGTGCAGGGGGAAGCTTCTCAGGGTGCAGCCATCTCTTTGGGAAGGGTTGGGGGGCCAGGGATCGAGCCTGTGACTTCACACATGCCAGGCCTCGTGCCCCATGCCGGGACGTCTCCAGTCTTTTGACATGTCCTCCCCTACTCGGGCTGAGAGTCTCAGATATTATCACACTTGCTCAAAGCGCACGCACGCGCGCACACACACACACACATACACACACCCATGAAATTAATTCTCAGCTCAGTTTCCCAGGCCAGTACTGCCTGACCAGTGGGCAATCCCTCTGAACCCCCACATTTCGGCCCTCCCTGGGTCAGCCTCAGTGCAGAGAGGGCTCATGTCACAGGCTCAGTTTAGACCTGTGGCAGGAAACTGATGCAGATCCTGTCAGTGTCGGGGCCCTGGGGCCAAGGCCTGGAGATTCTCAGCCCGACGGTTGCAGACCTGAGGGCTCTGTGCTCAGATCTGTGATGATTGGCCCAGCTGTGCCACTTGGGGTCCAGGGGTGCCAGGGATCAGTTTAGCGCCCTGTCCCCACCAAGTGTGTGCTTCGGCCCCCAGACCCGAATGGCCCAACCCAGACCTCATTCTGTTGGCCATATCGTAGACACCTCCCATGCCTCCAACTCCCAGCTGAGCCCCCGGCCACCACGCACGGAGCCCGCTCACCTTGCACTGCAGCCCGTGACATAAACTGACTTCCCGAGTCAGAACTGCTGAGAGTTTGGAATCCAGCACGCAAGACGGAAGATGAATAGTGATGGGGGAGGAGCCACAGAGGTCTGGGGCCTGATGCGAGCACCCCTGCCCTGCAGAGTTAGGTACCACTGAGGAGACCATCTCTCACACACACACACACACACACACACACACACAAAACATTGAAATAAAGACGTTATGGGCAGGGGAGATATTTAAGCCTGCAGTGGTGTGTCACAGGCATGTCTGTGACCGGCCCCATAATGAATGGGGGGACACAGCAGTAATGGTCCTAGGAGGGCAGCTGAGTGTTGGGCAGGGAAGGAGTGGCCGGGGCTGGTGCACGGCCAGGCGGGACCCGGGTCTGGGAGAAGGACGTCCATCCACAGGCCCTTCTCACCACGGTCTTGTCCACGCAGCAGAGCCAGCCCCGCCATCGTCCTCGGCAGCCAGCAGCGGCACCTCGGACGACGCCATTCGCTCCATCCTGCAGCAAGCCCGCCGGGAGATGGAGGCCCAGCAGGCCGCCCTGGACCCCGCCTTAAAGCCGACGCCTCTGGCCCAGAGCGACATGGCCATCCTGACGCCCAAGTTACTGTCTGCCGCACCCCTGGCGTCCGTGCCCAGCTACTCGCCGCTCGCCATCTCCCTGAAGAAGCCGCCCTCTGCCCCCGAGGCCAGCGCTGCCGCTCTGCCCACCCCCCCAGCCCTCAAGAAGGAGGCCCCGGATGCGCCCGGGCTGGACCTACAAGGGGCGGCCGAGGCAGCGCAGGGCGTCCTGCGGCACGTGAAGAACGAGCTGGGCCGCAGCGGCGCGTGGAAGGAGCACTGGTGGAGCAGTGTCCCTGCCGACAGGAAGGGTGCCGCCACAGCACCCGACGAGCCCAAAGGCGACGAGGCGGGCGGCGGGAAGGAGAAGGGCGGCGGCGGCGGCACCGCGCGGGCCGAGCGCGGCCCGCTGCAGGGACCCTCGTCCTCCGAGTACTGGAAGGAGTGGCCCAGTGCCGAGTCGCCCTACTCCCAGAGCTCGGAGCTGAGTGTCACCGGGGCCAGCCGCAGCGACACGCCCCAGAACAGCCCCCTGCCCTCCTCCCCGATCGTGCCCCTGGCCAAGCCCACCAAGCCCGCCGTGCCCCCGCTGACCCCGGAGCAGTACGAGGTGTACATGTACCAGGAAGTGGACACCATCGAGCTCACGCGGCAGGTGAAGGAGAAGCTGGCCAAGAACGGCATCTGCCAGCGCATCTTCGGGGAGAAGGTGAGACCCAGCCCCCCTCGGAGCATCCCCCCACCCCCCCGCCCCACCACCCCGGGCTCGGCTTTGTCACCGCCTGGACGTGGCTTCCTGGGCCACGCCCGATGCCCTCAGAGCCCAGAGGAATGAGCTTGTGTCCTGCCCCCACTGCCCAGTGGAGCCCTGAGGCGCCTCACCAGGCTATTTGGGCCCCTCCCCCAGCACCAAGATGGTGGTATGTGGTTACAGGGAGACCACCAGCCTGCAGTGGGAGAGAGCAGAGCGGGGCGGGTGCTGGCCTTGCGCATGGCTACCTCAGGTTCAGCACACAGTATCCCCCAAGCACTGCCAGGAGTGATCCTTGAGCACAGATCCCTGAGTCATCCCTGAGCACCCATGTTGTGCCCCCCCCCCCCCGAAAAAAAATTAAACAAATATTCGACAGCAATCTGACCCAAGGGCACTGCATCACCCCTGAGTGTGTCCCCACCCCCCAGCCACAGAGGCTACTTGTACTGTCTCATCCCCCAGATGCTCAGGTGCTGTCCCCTCAGAGGCGAGGCAGCGTGCCTATTCCCAGTAACGGTCCTTACCAGGCTGCGAACGTGAAACAGAGCCTGGTGCTGGTGTCAGTGTGAAAAACTGAGCTGCCACCGGCTGAGACCCCAAGTACCCCCGAGGCACAGTGATACCCCTGAGTCGTGTGTGTGTGTGTGTGTGTGTGTGTGTGTGTGTGTGTGTGTCCCGCACAGTGATATCCCTGAGTATCCCCCCAGGGCACAGTGATATCCCTAAGTATCCCCCAGGACATAGTGATGCCCCTGAGTATCCCCCAGGGCATAGTGACCCCCCCAATATCCCCCAGGGCATAGTGATACCTCTGAGTCCCCCCAGGGCACAGTGGTACCCCTGAGTAGCCCCCCAGGGCATAGTGACACTCTTGTGCCCCCCTCAGAGCACAGTGATATCCCTGAGTATCCCCTGGGGTGTAGTGATGCCCCCTGAGTATCCCCCAGGGCACAACAACACCCGAGTCACCCCCCCCAGGCCGCTGTCCCTCCAGTGCCCCCCCCCACCTGTCCACACCTGCCCTTCCCATATATGCATTCCGTGACCTCCTTCTGCCCAGAGGGCCAGGGACATGGAGACAAGGGTGAACATTTCAGTCCCTTGAAATTTCTAGCCCCGTGTTGTAAAAATACCATTTGAGAACATTTAAATAGACATTTGTGCTCATGCCTTAAATTTAGCGGAGACTTAATAGTGTTGAACTTGTTTGGCCCGCGAGTGCAGTTTATTCTGGAACTTGAGAACTTTTCAAAAGAGTGCTGGGCTGCAGCCCCTAAATATCTCGGGGCTGCATCTGCGTCCCTGGTGGGGTGTCTGCCCATACATATGCATGGCCATATGCGAGCGGCAGCGTGGCGTGTGCCGGCACTGTGGCGGCCGTCTGCGGCGAATTTCACTCCCAGCCTGGCCGCCCCGTTCACCTCTGGGCCCTCCCCCCGGCACCGAGCAGGATGTGGCAGTGCCCCTGGGCCTGGCACTACAGAGCGTGGCTCCTGCCTTGTCCAGGGTCCGGGACCCCGGCCCCTTCACCCTTCCGGGCCACGGGGCCAAGAGCATAGGCCTTGGGGTGCTTCATCCTCGTGACCTTGGCAGGGTGAAGCCTGGGGGCAGGCACCCTCTCTCTTCCCAGCTCAGCTCCCCGCCCCCCACCCCCAGCCCAGCTACCTCCCCTGGTGGTGACATGGTCCAGGAAGCCTAGTGGGTCCCACCCCCCACCTGAACCAGTGCACGGGCGCGTGCGCCCCCAAAGCCTGTGGGCCCGTGAGGGCCAGCACTGAGCCGTGTGTCTGTTGCCCCTGCAGGTGCTGGGCCTGTCCCAGGGCAGCGTCAGCGACATGCTGTCCCGGCCAAAGCCGTGGAGCAAGCTGACGCAGAAAGGCCGCGAGCCCTTCATCCGGATGCAGCTCTGGCTCAACGGCGAGCTGGGCCAGGGTGTCCTGCCCGTGCAGGGGCAGCAGCAAGGACCAGGTAAGGGCAGCCGCCCAGGGGACACCACTCCAGGCAGGGGTCAGCCCAGAGCCCTTGGGCCCAGGGGGAGAGAGCCTGCTGGGTTTATAAGCAGAAAATGGGCTTCCATCGCTAAGGGCTGATGGACATAAAGAGAGTCAGGAAGTGAAATCAGGGGGTCCCGAAGGCAGATCAGTGCCCGGGGGACCCTCCTGCCCAGCCCCAGCACGCACTGGCTCCCCTGAAGGCCTCGCTGACCCTCCTCAGAAGCGAAGCCCTGTGCTGATCCCTCGTTCCCGTGCCCCCTCCCACAAGGCCGTCCAGTGACCGTCCCCCTCTCTCTGCAGTCCTCCACTCTGTGCCGTCGCTCCAGGACCCGCTGCACCAGGGCTGCGTGAGCTCAGGTATGTGCCCCCACCTCAGTCTTCGTGGGCTCTGAAGCCGGGACATTTGAACGGGCCACCAGGGCCGTTCTGGGCTCACAGAGGTGAATAAGTGACATTAGGGCCACTGGGGGCCTCATGGGCCTGGTTCCTGCTGGGGCTGCAGTCCAGCACCCACTGCCCCCCCCCCCCCCACTGAAGGAGTGGCGGGGGTGGGTGGCAGGACCCTCTGGAAGCTGGAGGTAGCCCCAGGCAGGGCAGGGCACCCACCTGCTCCCCGCTGGTGCCCATCCTTTTTGCTCTGGTCTTTGTTTTTGTAACTGTGTTGCTGAGACTCCGTTTCCTATTGATTCATTGACTAACAGACAAAGCCCTGAGGCGCCTGGGGCCTGCTGCCTGCGGGAGTTTGGGGGAGGGGGGTGTGGAACAGCTGGAGGGGGGTGCAGACCCTCCCCCACCCGCACCCCAGCGCAGATGCAGCCCAGGCAGGCCTCCTTGGTGGCTGTGCTTGTGGGGAAATCTCCATGCGACGGGCGTCGTGTCCAGCAGGAAGGGCAGGTGACCCCCTCGACATTCCGGCGTGGCCTGGCCGCATCCTCAGCCAGTGCCTGGGTGCACCTGACCCCCCCCTCCCCCACTCACCACCTGAGCGCCTTTGGGGAGGGAAATCAGGGGTGCTATTGTTTGTGCTGTGCAGTGTGCATGGAAAACCTGCCCCCCCACCCCAAAAGTTGGCATCCTTTCCTGCTCCCCGAGCATTTGCTGCCCTGTCAGAATGAGCTGGACTTGGCAGAATATGACAGACGTTTTTGATCCAAACCCCTTGTTCCTAAATAAAACAGGAAATCACCACGGTTCCAGCTCGCGGGTGATTGATGCCAAGATCCCTCCAGTGTCCGAACAAGCCCAAACAGAAGGAAAGCTTTTTCCTTGTTACTGTAGCAGGTCGTTGCCACTGTGCTGGAACGTGCTGGAATAGCCACTTGCCCAACTTAGGAAGCACAGGGTTCCCGTGAGAACGATACCAAACCACTTCGTAAAATAGACATAAACTCTCAGGGTGCTGTGGATTCCAGGCCGGGGGGTGGGTGGCCTCTGTTTTGGAGAGGAAGTGACATCTGGACCTTGCGCTGTCCCAGGGGTGTTTTCACGCTGCCCCTGAGGGCAGGAGGTCAGCGCAGGTTTCCTGGGAGCTCACGCACCCATCCTCCGAGGTCAGCTGTAGGAAGGCCTCTCACTGAAACAGGGCTTACAGTGACTGGCAGAAATAGTTTATTCTAAGTATCGGGTCGCTAAGCAGAGATGCTTCTGTGCGTCAGGGAACACTGGTAGGTGCTTGTCAGAACAAAAGCAAAGCCTGATCCTACTGGAGCGAGAGTGTGGGCGTCGCTCCCTCGGCTGGAGTCTCTTGACTGTTGGCATTACCCTTTCAAGGCATGGATCCAAGGAGAGGAACTGCATCCCGGTGTAAAACTGAGGTTAGAGCTGAGGCCAAGTGAGCACAGAGAGGGCATCCACAGGCTCTGGGGAAGTGCTCACAGTCCTCTCCCCAGCAGAGAGAAAGACTGTCCAGGGCCTCCCTCAGGCATCTGAGTTTCTCTTTTCACTGTGGCCACCACAGAATCCTCCTAAGGGGCCCCAAGACCCTCCATGGGGGGGGGGGGGGGGTCGTCTTTGCCAGGTTTCTGCCCAAGGCAGCTCAGCCTGGTAGACCAGATGGCTGCAGGATGGTAGAAGTGGCGGCTCCTGAATCATCTTCAGTGCTGAGCAGCTGAGAGCCCAGGCTGCCCAGCGGGCTGGCGCCTGACTTAGCTACCTCCCAAGTATGGAAGGATTAGGGAGGAAAGCTCAGCCACTGTCCTCTCAGCCCTTCAGTTAAAGCAGTTGATTCCGACCAATGGTGTGGCCTAGCACCCAACTCTGTGCTCTGTTACCATAGCAATGAGATGCCACGGAGAGGCGGAGTTCATATTGCTGAGGCCGGAGTGGACTGCCCTCTGGGGACCCCTGCCCATCCCCTCTGCCCAGTGCTGTGCCCTTAGTGCCTCTCCCCTACGGCAGACGATGTGAGCGCCCGGATCTTCGCTGAGGTCCATAAGCGGGTATGGGCGTGTTTGCAGGCCCCCAGGCAGGGATGCGGCAGGTGGGTACAGTGGGAAGAAGGTGGAGCCCCACGCCACACGCCTTCTACATTTGCTCTCTTACACTCATCTCCATGTCGCAGGAAACTCAGAGTTTCGCTGCAGGGACAGCAGAGGGGGGAGGAGCAGGTTCCCAAGCGTGACCAGACAGGTCATCTCCCCGCAACCACTGCCCCGGAAGTGGTTGTCCGCACAGAGAAGGGCATGATGGGGAGGGGGAGGGGCTATGCCGCTGCTTTTCCGCTCTACTCAGGGGTGTCCAGCCCCAAGGGAGGGGCACTATTGGGCCTGCACGGTGCCTTGCTCTTGTCCTCTCCTGGGCCAGTCAGCCAAGAATTTGGTCCCTTCTTAGAGCACTTGGACTCAGTAGCCCAGAGTTGACATCCCACCCTTGACTCTTGAACTTAAAATCACCTTAAAAGGGTGATTTTAACAGCAAAATCCAGCAGGACGCTGGCAGGAGCTTCTTGGACCTTCCCTGGGGTAGCCAGGAGGCCAGGAAGGCAGGAGAGGCCCGGCCTCAGCTCACGGGACCCCACACCACACATGACCTCAGTTGTCCAGTCGGGAATGCCTGCCTGCCACCCAGGTGACCCGGCCGCTGCCACTTCCAGAGGGGCTCTTGGCCACGTGGGGCCATCCCATGCCGAACACCAACATGCATGGGGCTCCATGAGTGACTGCTTGTTCCCTCCCCCTGCAGCACCTCAACTCAGAGACGCCCACTTTCCCCCGGCCCTTCCCTGTAGACCTTCAGTTGACATAGCACGTTGGGCCTTTGGTCCAAGAAGTCAGAATCAGTCCCAGCAGCCAGTGGGGACCCAAGCTTGGCTTTCAGTGGCTCCTTCCAGAGGACAGAGAAGCAGAAACCTCCGAGCAACCTAAAAGGGGGACAGGACCCGTGCAGGAGTTCCCACACGTGCCTTCCCAGAAAAGGGAGCCAGTGCCTCCCCACTCACCTCCGGCAAAAACCCAGGAGGTGAAGCAGCATCTCCCCCATCAGCAGAAAAGGAAAAGATGCCTGAGGCCTGCGGGCTCAGAGCCAGAGGGGCCTGCACGGGAAACCAAGGTCACAGGGTAGAGCAAGGAATACAGTTGTGTCCAGGTCTTAAGTGGACAGACAAAAGACCCCCTCTGGGAGTCAGGTCAGCCTCGGACACAGCAGTCACCCCCCGCTCCATCCTGGTGTGGTGGCTGCGGGCAAGGGGGTCAGCACCCCAAACACAGAGCACAGGCAGATCCCGCATTACAAGGATAGAAAGCAGGGAGTCCACCAGGACCCGAGGAGGGAACGTGGTGGCTGGTGATCTGAGGCCACCCCCCTCCCCATCCCTCCACTCTCCTGGGAGCTGGGGGACCCAGGGAAAAGGGCAGCTCTTACAGCCCAGCTCTGTCTGGGGGTGTGCGGGGTAGTAGTGGTGGTTGAGGGGATCTTTTTTATTTTGGGGTTCTACCCAGTAGTGCCCAGGTGCTCCCAGCATAACAGGGGGACCCTTAGGGGCCAGGGATCAAACGCAAACCTGCCACACACAGAGCCTGCCCTGGTGCCCACGGGGCTGGCGCTCGCTCACTCACTGCCTCTCGCCACTGTGGGTGGGTCCCCATCAGCCTCCTCTTGATTTAGGGTCTTCCACTGCCCTAAATATAGCCTGTGTCTCAATTGGCAGGTGTCGGTTTGTCCCTCTCCAGAAAGGCCAGAATCAGCCTGTCATTTAGCACCTAAATAGAACCACCACCGGCGCCACCCCTGTACCAACTCTGCAATTAGGAGGATCTGACATCTCAGCTTCTCACTAGCCGAGGGAACTTTCTCGAAAGCCACAGCAACACCCCTGAAGCCAAAGGAGGCTGCCCAGAATGGGGGCATGGCCTCCCCGACTGCTGGTCTCTTGGGGCCCATTGCTTTGGGGCCCCAAGACTTGGGGTATAAAGACTTGTGAGGGTCCAGAGCAATAGTACAGCGGGTAGGGCTCTTACCTGGCATGCGGCCGACCTAGGTTCGATTCCCGGCACTCCATAGAGTCCCCCAAGCACTGTCAAGAGTGATTCCTGAGAACGGAGTCAGGAGTAACCCCTGGGCACTGCTGGGTGCGGCCCAAAGATAAAAACAGAAACGGCCACCTACATGGGCAGCCCCGCCCATGGGAATCCCAGTGCAGACGCCTGTGGACTGGGGGGAGGAAGCGCCTGGCGCTGGGGTCTTGGTGGGGCTCCCCAGGGGCGGCAGGAAGATGTTGTAATCAATTACCACATCATAACACTGATGTATGATAATTACGAGTGTTTCTCCTGAGATGCGCGCGCTTGGCGCCGATGCAGCCCTGTCACGGTCCACTGCCTGATTAATATGCAAATAATAGGCTGATTGCATGATGAATGCGGAAAATGAGCTCTTTGATAACGCGGGCACTGAAGCGGGAAGATGATAAATTACTTTTACTGACTGTCCTACATTAAGTACCCTTTCTCAACAATTTCATCACAAATTAAGTAAAGCAGTGTGGAGAGATTAGGGGGATGCGTCCAATAATGGACCTTAATAGCTTTCCCGATACCTTCTCCAGCAACGGAACTGTCACTCGGTTCCGCTCCATGCGGCCCTGGGCCCGGGGGTGGGCAGTCACTGGCTCACCTGTATCTTGCTTGGGAAGGGTGGGAAGCGCCCCCCCTTCCCCGCACCCACATGATCCCCAGCTGCAGTCAGCCCGAGGGTTCCTTCGGAACATTCCGTCGCAGCCCAGCTAGACCTCGCTGCACACCAAACAAGGGGCCTGGGCAGCTGCTTTGGGGACAGTGCCAGGGACTCCTCGCGGGGCTTCCATGGGCCTGGCATGTCTCTCAGTCCCAAAACTTAGAAGCAAATCCACATCCACAGCCTCC